AATATTCTCCAGTGTCTCTCGCTGCAGTCTGCACGCTCAATTCACCAAATTCTCCAGTCGAATACAGTAACGCCACTGGAAGAAAGATGAAGAGATGAGATGAGATCAAATCATTGCTTAGGTACTTGAATGGACGCGCATCTTCAGCCAGCTTTGTTCTACTTTGTCGATAGAATGAGGCATTTTAGTAATTCTCAGCAAATATCGCATAGAAAATAAAGGATGAGTCGACTCACCCAGTAAACAGAAGTCGTCTGGCTTTCTCTACAACCCATGTAGAACGGTATGACGGTAATGCGAACATTCTCGGTTGTTTCCTTATGTACATCGGACAGCTCGAGCCACGGATGGTTTTTCTTCTGCCATGCTCGAAGGGTCTCTTGCGCTACGAAGCACGGTTCTTTGTCCGGGTCGTAAGTCAGGAACTTGTCGAACAATTCATGTTGCAACGCTGCTTTCTCGTTCGTGCTGTACGGTAACACGTCCTCGTGTGCGACATAATCCAAGCCTGGGATAGCATACAAGCTGCGACTGCTTTCGTGATTGCCCAGGAAGGTCACCGCTTCCGTTTGAGCACGCTAAGCGGTACACAGAGAAGTTGTACAGCTTGTACAAATCTACGTGCCAATTAGTCTTCTCGTGTATTACTTACTATGTAAGGGCAATCTCGCTGATCGATCAGAACTTGGTAGAATGTATGCGTTCTACCCTTTACTTCTTTACCGACATTGTTGAAATTGTTGTCATCCTTACTGCATAAATAAATGGGTTTTTGTCAGAGATTTTAACTAACGTCAAAAGTGTTTATACAAAATATACAATACTTATAAATATTAGTAGGAGTTATTATTACTGTGCATGTAGCCGAGTAGAATCAATTAATTCTAGACTGATTCGTAATAAAAATTGAAGCATGCAAGTGATCATAAGTTACTTAAGCAAAAACAGAAAAACTATATGACTATGGGTAACTATACATACTCATCCTTCTTGTTGGATATATCTCTGTCATATACTCTGGCTAACCATGGAAAGAGAATTACGCCACGATAACCAAAGACTCTGTGCAAAATCAACTGACCCGTCTCATACTTTCCTTGTAGTTTTGGTGTTTCCAATTTACCAACCTCTGCTAATCTGAAATGATATCACGTGCATATTATAAAATATTTAAATATTTTTCACCATCTTCTACTTAGAAACTACCTGCTGATCTTAACATCTAAGATTTAAGAATTTATGCGAGTGTGTCACAGGATACTCTTCGCGCTAGACTCTAACTAACAAACTTATTACTAAGTGTCCCTGGAGGTCAGATTATAATACTAGTGAGTCAAAAAAAAAATCTAGTTGTTACATATGTTATACAAAAAGAGAGAACAATATATACAATATAAAGGTGTATGTCATAACATATAATACAAAATATATTGCGTCGCAAGAGTTACTTAAATTAACATTGTAGAACGGCGATATTTCCTATCTTTTTTAGTTCAGTTTTGCGACACACGTCTATTAATCACGGCAATCAAAGAAAAAGTAATTAATGACAATCAACATATCTGGACGTATGAGAGCGTGTGTGAAAATAGCTTTTTTCTCCACTTGCGACTATCTATAAGACAATATTATTCGGTATATTCGATCATCTACTTCGTCTATCGCGTTCGGTACCTGATGTATCGCGCGTGTTGTACACAAAACCTTTCAGGCGCCTTCAGGAAGGATCGTTTGAGGTTGCGGCTGACGAGAATACGCACAAGTTCCATGATTACGGGGAAAATATTGCAGATATTCGGCACGTGTCGAAGAGATTTACGTTGCGAGATGAAAAATAATGAGTGGTCGTCGCTGTTGTGACGACATTTCTACTGATATTTTCCCATCATCTCAGAATATCGGAGGTTATACTGTTTATATTGCTGATATGACAGAAGTGGGGGCAATAGGTGCAAAAAAAACCGGTTGGCGCAACGTTGAGTTGTACCACTGGCTGCGTTCAGCAGAACATAATGATCAGTGAGCGCTTAGTGATTATCGCTCCTGATTGGCAAATACTTCTAGGTCTATGAAGAATCTAAAAGAATGCTGAACGCAAGAATACTGAACGCGGCCAATGGCTGCGTTCAGCAGAACAAAGTGATCAGTAAGCGCTTAGTGATTATTGTCTGTGATTGGAGCATTCTTTTAGATTCTTCATAGACCCAGAAATATTTACCAATCAGGAGCGAGATTCAGTGGAAAATCTAGTAATGTTGTCCAACTGTTGAGTCTGCTGAACGCGGCCATTGACGAATAGCCAGCCTGTTCCGTGCCGTCATGTTTGGCGCCATTTTGCGATTTGTACGGAACGACATCGCCCACCATTATCGTCTATCCCGTGATATCGAAAGAAATAGAACTTGATTGACGTCCAATTGATACATTTGCGACGTAAGTAAATTTTAATTATTCCACTCTCAGCATGTAATGTATAATTTCAACGAAACGAGAGAGAATACATCGCGATGCGAGTAAGAGTATCACTTCCAATTCAAAGTAGCGCTTGTAAGGCACGAGGAAAAATGTTGAATCTCTCGAGTCATGCGTCTCGTCCTTTTTTAGTTGTGTACTTTTTCAAACATGGATACGTTAATATGCAATAAATGTTTCGCCCCGATGTACCGAGGAAAACAGCCATATAACATAACGCAATGCGGACATATTTACTGTGAAGACTGCTTGCAACAAGGTATGCGTACTGAGAGCGAGTCTCGTGAAAACGATGCCGCCATTGTTTATCGTCCGTAACTCTCCGCAAAATCATTTCATTCTTGTCGTGCTTTTGCAGCCGAGAAGCAGTGCACGCAATGCGGGTACAACGGCGCCCTATCTATGGTGCTGAAAGAGCCGTTGAAAGATCCCAACGTGCGCCAATTATTCATGCCGCTCGTTGAAACTCTCGAGATGCTGTTTAAAGTCGACGAGTTTCGAAGCAACCAAATGAAAATAATCATGCAACGGTTTCTCGAACTTGTACGTACATGCACACACACACACACACACACACACACACACGCACGCACACGCACGCACACGCACGCACACGCACACGCACACGCACACGCACACGCACATGCACACAATCAGCTATCTCTCCTCGCGAAAAATAGTTGAATATGTTTTAAATATAGTTCATATTTGTTTTTTACATAGATCAAGTCAGATTCAAATAAGAACCAAATATTAAATTAAAAATTAACTTAATTCAAATATATGATCCTGCGACTAGACTATATTAATATATTATTATATTATTATATTATATTATATTATTATATTATTATATTAATATTTAATATGCACCTAATCAAAACTGAGTCTAAATTCAATTTTATATTTAGAACAAATAAGATGTTGATTAACATTTAAGTTGGTTTTTGTTTGAGTTTAACTTAGTCCATATGAAGGATAAATATAATGCTATATTTAAAACATATTTAACTGTTTTTCGCGGGTCATTTCTTTTATCGTTTCTTTAGAATTTAAAATTTACAGTTTGCAGGCTATATCTTTCTTTCCCTTCTTTTCCACTTTAAAATTTAGAGTGTACCTTATTTTGTTTTTATGATCTTCGTGTCATATTTTCATGTCACCACGATTATTTTTTAAGGACAAAAAGTACGACATGCTGAAAAACCAATATTGGATCGCGCGACGTAACATGAAAATACTCAACGATAAGTATGTGAGCTTAAAACACGAGAGGGGTAAATTCGACAATAAGAAACTACTGTTCTCTGACGTACAACGGGAGATCCCGCGACGCGTTGCGACTTCATCGCCGAGCAACGATGTTACAACAATAAAAACACCAAAAAAATCTAATATTTTTATCCATTCGACAAGCTCAGGGTAAGACACGAATACCTGAAGAACAATCGGCAAACACCATTCGTCGTGCGCGTTCGAGTTGAAAATGATTATAATAAAAATGGAAGTCTTTAATAACCATAGTATTAACTATAGTATAACTATAGTAATAGATTATTTCTTTTTCTTACGTAACATTTCTTTTTACATTATTTTTTTGCATTATTTTATAGGTAAAGGGATAATTTCTCTGAACGTTCTCTCATGCTCCTCATTGTTCGCAGATATTCCTCAGGATCGATGGAACTGCGATCCGTCCAACCAACGCCTGAACATTCAACGGACGCCAAGAGACAGTATAAAACTGCTGACGGTTTTCGAATATCTACCTATCTACCTACGAATACGCGCAAAAATATGACGTCCGTGAATTCCCGCGATATGAACACGAGCTCAAATAGCTGTTTTATGAGATAAAAATGTTTTTTCTTTTGTTTCTTACTTTTTAACATTTATATATCCATATAACGCTAGATTTCTTCATTATCTCGCGTGATTTAAAAATTATATATGAAGAATTATATCTACATATAAGTTTATTTTACTTTTTTCTATAATTAAAGATTTAAACATTGGCGATTCTCGTTAAAAATGCGATAATAGCAACAAACAAAAGATGCATTAATTTTCTGTTACTGGGAACATTTAGTTTTTACATGACATGATGTAAATTATGGTTTTTTCTCAAAATACGCTGTAAGTTGTTTATTTTATATCGAAACCTCTTTTGTTATCTCTTAACAAAATATGCAATTGAGGCAAACGTATAAAAGCTTTTAATCATCGTCGAAGATTAATTTTAAATGCTTCTCGCTACAAGTGCGATAATAAAAACAAACAAAAGATGCATTAATTTTCTGTTACTAGAAACATTTAGTTTTTACATGAAATGATATTGTCAATCGTGTTATTTTCTCAAAATATGTCAATTATGTTATTGTATCAATTGTGTTATTTTCTAAAAATTATAAGTTGTTTATTTCATATCGAAAACTTTTGTATTATCTTTTAATAAAGTGCAAAATTGAAGCAAACATATAAAAACTTTTAGTGCATCGTCGACGTTTAATTTTAAATCTTTTCATTATTGTCATTTTTGCCGAAGCTTGCTTAATCTTTACATATGTTTCATATGATAGAAAGTACGGCGACAATATACTGAGTTGAAATAATTAATTATTCATTATATTAATAATATATTAATAGATAATTAAATAGATAATTAATAAATAATTAAAACAGGCGTCTAAGTTGTGTCAAGTTGTATTACAATGTCAATTCTTCGATAAGCACACTAGCGAAGATTTCCTAACTAAACGCGATATTACATATTCAAGACTCAAGTATATTTCGCCAATATTCGAGCCATACTTCTTGCTCATCAAAAATCACGGCAGTGATTTGCGCCAAGGTACGCTTTTTGCTGTTACACTCCTGAACTGTCTCTTGACTGCCGTGGTATATTCACGCAACCAACTAGTTGGAGGGGGGCACAATTTAGAGTTTCGTTATAACCGCTAAACAGGTGCAGTTCTGAATGGTCTCAATCGATTCCTTGGGTCTAAATTAGTTAATAAAACTATCTTCATTTTTGCTCTACATATCCTGTGAGTCGAGATATTCTAGTCCAAAGTTCAATTTACGAAGATTTCACGTTTGCTAAGAATTGTAAAAATGTCATGCCGAAAATGTCCATCTCACATTTCTTCTGTTAGAGGCGCTGCAAACCCATCGTCAGAGGCGCCACGAACGGATTCGCTCATTGTCAGAGGCGCCATAATTCGAAAGTTGTGTACGAGTGTGTTTAACATATCCTAATAGCAATATTTCAGCAGACTGCCGGCAGAATGAATCAGAGGTTTACAGCAGATTGGTGCCAGCTGTTTATCCATTGTGCCCGCATTCTGACGGCAGAGTCTGCAAACATTATTTGACGGCAGACTGATGCCAGAAACAAAGCAGATCCTGACGTACGCAGTCTGGCGGTAGATTGACGGCAGAAATGTAGTAGATCCTGCTGTGCGCAGTCTGGCGCCAGAATGACGGCAGAAACGTAACAGATCCTGACGTATACAGTCTGACACCCGAATGACGGCAGAAACGTAACAGATTCTGACGTACGCAGTCTGGCGGCAGACTGGTGACAGAAATACAACAAATTCTGCCATAATCATTTTTACATCTGCCCCCTCCACCCTTCCCACTTAGTTATACACATTACGTAAAGGTAATTATTAAACAACACAATATACGAACGTAATAGTTTTTATTTATCACACAAGACACTGTCAAGACAAAACGAGACAGCCAGTCAGATTCACAATAGTGTTTGTCGTAAATGGCGGAACACGAAGGCGACAATGTTTCTTCACATAGCCTCAAGAAGCGGCGACACACGATAACTTCGAGACGATGTTGGAGTAACTGATAATAAGGTTTGTGAACGGTGACGTGGCAATCTGTTGCGATATCTGTAAATCGAAATTATATTACAGTTGCATCTTTCTAATTATAGTTATAACTATAATTAAAAATAGTTATAACTATATAAGCCAGACTGCAAACGTCAGGATCTGTTACGTTTCTGCCGTCATTCTGGCGCCAGACTGCGCACAGCACAATCTGCTGTATTTCTATTACTAGTCTGCTGTCAGGTTGTGGACGGCAGGATCTGATACATTTTTACCACCAATTTGCCGTCAGGCTGCTTAACAGAATCTGTTCAAATGTTGACGTCAATCTGATATCAAACCTCTGTAACAGATTTTGTCTCAATGCTGCTGGCATTCTGCCGATATCTTCACAGAATCTGTATTAATTTTGACATCAGTTTGTCATCAATTCCTACAGCAGGCGTCTGACAAAATCTGTTTCAGACAGATTTCGCTATTAGGATAGTGATATTTCAGTGCTACTAGAAAAAGTGGTGATCGATGATTAGCTCATAAGAAAAGTCGAACGAGAAGACGAGGAAGAAAGAAAAGAAATCAAGATATGCGTGATATACGTGTTGGAATTTTACTTCATATTAGAACAGGTAAGTAGGTTATTGATTGTTGATCTATGAATGAAATTTATTCTTTCATTTTTATTTCATTATTATACGTATTCTTGTGAACAAAACAATAATAATATATTACGTCATATTATATTGGGTGAGTGCAAAAGTTCGTGCAGAGTTTGTGAGTAAAAGTCACACAGTGATTAGGCAAACAAAAATCTTTATTCAATCAATGATATATTCTCCATCGTTTTCTATAATCTTTTCCCAACGTTCTGGCAGCATACGGATGCCTCGATCATAAAAACTGCACGATTTAGATTCGAAGAATGAAGAAACGCCGTTTTTTAAGGCCTCCAAAGAGTCAAAGTTTTTTCCATTTAAATAATTTTGCAATGACCGGAACAAGTGATAGTCAGATGGTGCGATATCAGGAGAATACGGTGGATGCGTTAAGACATCCCATTTCAGGCTCTTCAGTTTGCGCAGCGTCTTTTTCGAAACGTGTGGTCTGGCGTTGTCGTGATGAAAGACGACTCCCTTGCGATTTGACAAAATCAGACGTTTCTCTTTTATTTCTCGATTCAGATTGGTTAATTGGCGACAGTACTTGTCCGAATCAATCGTTTCGCCAGCGGGGAGAAGCTCGAAATAGATTATGCCCTTGCAATCCCACCAAACAGAGAGCATCACCTTCATCGGGTGCAAACTGGCCTTTGGCATTGCGTCACCATGCTCACCTGATTGTTTCCATGTCCGTTTGCGCTGAACATTGTTGTAGAGGATCCATTTCTCATCGCCTGTCACTAGTCGATCCAAAAACGACTCGTTATTGAGCCGCCCGAGTAAAGAAACGGCTGCAGAAATTCGCTTGATTTTGTTCTTCTCGGTCAGCAAATGGGGCACCCATATATCGAGCTTCAAATCGAATCCCATCTTTTTTAAACGCCGAAAAGCGGTTGATCGGTCAACGTTTAGTGCTGTAGCAACTTCTTCTGTTGAAATTCGCGGATTATTGAGCACTAAAGTACGCAAAACATCGTCATCAATGTCAGAAGGTCGACCAGAGCGTGGCTCGTCTTCAAGGTTAAATTCTCCGCGCCGAAATTTAGCAAACCATTTTTCCACAGTTCGTTTAGCTGGTGCTTCATTCTGATAAACATCCTGAATGTTTTTTACGGCTGTGGCAACGTTTATTCCCTTCCGAAACTCGTAAAGCATAACATGCCGTAAATGCACCTTATCGATACTCATTTTTAAAGTGATATTTCTCGAAGCAGTTTGTATGAAAACAAATGATTTTTTTTTAATAACAGCTGAAGACGTCACCTTTCCAACGTTATATAATAAGTAGATGGAAGTATTAATGACAACACTTTACGACGCTTATAACTCCATCTATTGAAACTCCGCACGAACTTTTGCACTCACCCAATATATTTGACAGGTAGCTGCATTTGATTTGACATTTACACATAGCTACGTTCGAACATTACTTTTGAACAGAAGCACAACAGATTCACTATCAGGTAATATACAATACTATAAAAAATATCTTTTATTATTATATGTATTTATATGTATATTTATTTGCCCCTAACGAGAATATATTATTTCGTACTTCATATTGTTTTCACATTTTCAAATTGCGGCGTTGGATCATATTTGTTATTAAGCAGAAACAGAAACGATAAGTCACATCCAGGTAATACATCATCTAAAATATATTTTTTATATATATTCTTGCCCAAAATAAGAATATGTTATTTCACATTGCATATTTTATATTTTCAGGTTGCTGCGGTGAAGACAAACATCTAGACAGCATCGGCATTCAATGGATGTACGTTTTACGTCCAATTTATGTCCGTATGTCCGATTTATATCCGTGGATATAAATTGGACGTAACAAGGATGTCCTTATTAGACATTGGACCTGTAGGACGTCCATCGGACGTCCGATGTCCGAACTTGTGACAAAGGCATGTTCTATGGACGTCTTTTGTAAAAAACAATGGGCATATAATGAACGTCCAATGGACATCCGTGTGCTGTCTGGGCAGGCAGAATGACATATCGAACACTGCAATCTGAAAATGTGAAATATATAGTATGAAATAATATATTCCCCTTATAGACAAATAAATATATATAAATACATATAATAACAAAAGATATTTTGTATAGAATTGTGTGTTGCCTAATAGTGAATCGATTGTGCTTCTGTTCAAAAGTAATGTTCCAACACAGCTATCTGTAAATGTCAAATCAAACACAGCTACCTGTCAAATATCCAATATGAGGTAATGTATTATTGTTTTGTTATAATATTGGGGACTTGAATAAGTTCTCGCTGTTTCGCGATAGATGGTGTTATCTTAGCCTTTTTGCATCGGGCAATACTACAACTTCATCG